GAACAACCCCTCATAAAATAAGTTACCTTTGAGTTGGATATAACTAGTCTATCGTTAAAAGCATCATTGCTGTTGGAAATAAGATTTCACCTCCTAGCTTAGAGAAAAGCCTGTGTTTATTTTTGTCCTCTTCATACAGGACTTGAAAGTCAAGGACCTTAGTGGAATCAATTTTAGGGATTTGCCAGAGAGAGTCGCAAACTGTTTATCAAATTCTCTCTGATTTCTCCCCCATGGGAATTGCCAACTACAGAGACGGCACAAAAAGGATTTTCTTTCTGCCTCCCTCCTGCCCTCCTGCCCTCCTGAACAGATTATCTTGGAAACAAAAATGCAGAAATAAATAAATGTTTATGGGCCCCAAGGCTCTGATGTTCAATCTATAATTTTCTCTTTTGTTTGTGTTGACCACAAATGCTGCTATTTAACTTTATTTAATAAACAATATGAGGCACTGTCCAGGGCATTTTACAAATACCTGCTCATTTAATCCTCGTGTAAATCTCTGAGGTAGATACTTTTATTAGCCCCATTTTACAGAGGACAAAACTGAGGCACAAAGAATTTGCCCAAGGTTATGGGGCTATCAGGCTGGATCTGAAGGCTGTGTGCCTAACCACGACAACATTCACGCCCACAGAACTGAAGACTGTAGGTGGTAGCCCATTTTCTGTTGGGAAACTTACCTGGAAAAAGTACTTTTAAGCCCGAAGAACTGTCTTGCCTGACTCAAGATTCCAGGCCAGGTTTAGCAGAACACAGAGGTCTTGGTTCTGGACACCAGGGGCCAGGAATTTGAAATGATATGCTTTACTTTTCCCTCATCAAGTCTGAGTTTGACCAAGGAAACACAAATCTAGTTTGCAACGCTAGATTCTACTTGAGGCAAGATCCCCAGATGCTGTGGTACATCCAACATCTGGATGAAGGGTCAGTTACACTTCCAGGTGTTTAGTTGGGTTTCCATGGCAACAGCCGGCTGAATGTTTACATAGGATTCCTTTGCTTTTAACTATGGCTTTAACAATAATGATCACGGTAATAATTATAATTACGTAACAGATCACAATCATAATGGCCATCATTTGTCCAGTGTTTGCCAGGGTCTGGGACAGTGCTAAGAGCTAATGGCATAAAAGTATTAGTCAGAGGCCATGTTTATCTGCATTTTACAGATGGGAAAATGAAGTGTAGAGAAGTTAGGCAGCTGGCTTAAAGTCGCAGAGAGTTGCACATCTCAGATTCAAAACCAGGTCTGGCCCTAGCCGGCTCGCTCAGTGGTTAGAGCATTGGCCCTCAGACTGAAGAGTCACTGGTTTGATTCCTGGTCAAGGGCATGTACCTCCATTGCAGGCTCAATCCCCCAGCCTCTGTGAGGACACATGTGGGAGGCAACCAATTGATGAGTCTCTAAAAATTCATATATCTCTGTCTGGCTCTCTCTCTCTCTCCCCCTTCTCCCTCCCTTCTACTTGCTCTAAAAATCAATGAAAAAATATCCTTGGGTGAGAATTTTAAAAAACAAAATAACAACCCAGGTCTGTTTGACCAGGGCCTGGTTTTCTAAACCTCCTCTCACATTATAGAATCCTGGGCTTAACTCAAAGCCCCCACCACTCACATGGATATTCAGTTTAAGACTACTCTTTAGTTCTTCCTGTATTTATTCATGGACCAAATATTTCCCAAGCCATTATTCTGTACTAGGCTATGGCCAGTAAATGCGGAACAAAACACAGTCCGTGCTTCATGGGCCTAAAAAGAGACTATAAAGGGAGAGAGTTAAGTCTTTACAAAGAGGTTAAGAGGGAACAAAACAAAGCTAATAATACCTTGGTGCTTGGAGACCCCCATAGGAGGGGTACCTACTCTAGTCTAGGATTCCTAGAAGGCTTCCTGGAGGAAGTGACACAATCCTAGGCTGTGACAAAAAGAACAAACCAGAGTTTAGCAGGAAACGTTGGAGTTAGGACAAGGGGCATTCTGGGCAGAAGGAAGAGCACTTGCCCAAATCTGAGGCAAAATCAGACACTTTCAGGGAAATGCAAAATCAGATGAGCTGTGAGCCACAGAGAGCAGCCTTTCCAACACACTTATGAGGAGCTGCGGTCTGACAGTGGGCTGGCCATTGACAAGAGGCCACCCTGGGAAAGTCAGAATGCCCAGTGATGGCAAGGACAGCGATTCCTAAATTCCCCACGGGCGCTCAGAAGCCAGCTGGGGTCTCAAGGCAGGACATCATTCATGATACCTTCGTAAAGATGCTTCTAGAGTGAGTGGTTTCTGTCCCAGCACATGAGAGTGGTGCCTGGGACACTGAGTAGAAACTAGGAAGTCAGGCGTGCCTCCTGGGGAGAATGCAAGCCGGTATATTCATGGGTCGTTAGTGCATTCTTTTCCTGGGAGAGCAAACCATTTACTTGTTTAAAATACTGCACCATGACAGTCAGTTAGTATTTGACAAAGAGGCAAGGATATACAATGGAGTAAAGACAGTCTCTTCAACAAATGGCCATGGGAAAATTAACAAATGGCCATGGGAAAATTGGACAGACATAAAATACTGCACCATGACAGTCAGTTAGTATTTGACGAAGAGGCAAGGATATACAATGTAGTAAAGACAGTTTCTTCAACAAATGGCCGTGGGAAAATTAGACAGACACATGCAAAACGATGAAACTAGACCACCAACTTGCACCATACACAAGGGTAAACTCCAAATGGACAAAAGACTTAAATGTAAGGCATGGAATCATAAAAGTCTTAGAAGAAAACATGGGCAGTAACATCTCAGACTTCTCACGCAGCGGAATTTTTGCCAATACATCCCCTAGAGCCGTGGTCGGCAAACTGCGGCTCGCAAGCCACATGTGGCTCTTTGGCCCCTTGAGTGTGGCTCTTCCTAAGCCTTAGGAGTACCCTAATTAAGTTAATAACAATGTACCTACCTATATAGTTTAAGTTTAAAAAATTTGGCTCTCAAAAGAAATTTCAATCGTTGTACTGTTGATATCTGGCTCTGTTGACTAATGAGTTTGCCGACCACTGCCCTAGGGCAAAGGAAACTAAGGAGACAATAAACAAGCGGGACTCCATCAAAATAAAAAGCTTCTGCACAGCAAGAGAAACCACCATCGAAATGAAAAGGGAGCCCACTGTCAGGGAGAACATATTCGCCAATGATACATCTGGTAGGGAGTTAATATCCAAAATATATGAAGCCCTCATACAACCGAACAAAAGGAAGACAAACAATCCAATTAAAAACTGGGCAGAAGGCCTGGATAGACATTTCTCCAAAGAGGACATACAGATGGCCAAGATACATATGAAAAAAAAAATGCTCCAAGTTAGTAATCATCAGAAAGATGCAAATTAAAACCACAAGGAGATATCCCCTCACACCTGTCGGGATGGCTAACATAAAAAAATCAACAGACAACAAGTGCTGGCGAGGATGCGGACGAAAGGGAACCCTAGTACACCGCTGGTGGGAATGCAGATTGGTGCAGCCACTATGGAAAACAGTATGGAGTTTCTTCAAAAAATAAAAACTGGAACTTACGTTTGACTCAGTGATCCCACTTCTGGGAATAGATCCTAAAAACCCTGAAACACCAATCAGAAATAATATATGCACCTCTAGGTTCACAGCAGCATTATTTACAACAGCTAAGATTTAGAAACAGCCCAAGTGCCAGTCAATAGAAGAATGGATAAAAAAGCTGTGAGACATGTACACAATGGAATACTATGCAGCAGTAAAAAAGGAGTGATCTCTTACCCTTTGGGACAGCATGGATGGCCCTGGAAAATATTATGCTAAGTGAAATAAGCCAAACTTAGAAAGACACACATCACATGATCTCACTTATTTGTGGAATCTAATGAACAAAATGAATTGACTGACAAAATAAGTCTTGAAACATGAAGGCATGGAACAGACTGACATACCTCCATATGGGGATGGGGGATGAGAAGAGATAAACTAAAGATCTTATATACTTATATTTATAGCCCATGGACAGGGGAAAAAGTGTGGTGAAGACCTGGGAGGGTGGGTAGGGCTGGAAGGAGGGGGGTAAATGGGAGACATCTGTAATACTATCAATAATAAAAATTATACATATTAAAAAATAAAATACTGCATCTTTATAGACGTGAAGAGTTTGGGCTTCAGATTCAGACACTTGTCAGTTCAAAACCAGGCTTTGTTCCTTATTTGCTGAGGGCCTTGGGCCAGTTAGGACACTCTCTGTGCCCAGGTTTCCAGGTAGTAAGAGTAACTCGCTTTTATGATGTTCAGGATTATTAGGTTGATGAACTGAGACAACACAGAGAAAGTGCTTACCACCATGCCTGGCTCGGAACACTCAATAAATGACGGCGAATATTAACATTTCACGCTCAGTTCTCCTGAAGATCTGAGTGACAAATCACCCTCAAAGGTACATGCACTTGAAAACTGGACATAAAGCCGCGGGAATGAATTAGTAATGGTGGACTAGCAGAGGGAAAGAATTAGGACACAATACAGGGCAGAACTATCCTTGGAGGGGGACTCAGGAAGTAATGGTCATTATGACATCTGGCAATCTATTTCTTCCTCTCTCTTTTAACTTTTTATTTGAAAATGATTTTAAACTTACCTAAAAGTAAATCTACCCATTAGATTCGTATATTGTTAATATCTTGCCTCGTTTGCCTCTCTCTCTCTCTCTCTCCACACACACACATTTTTTTTTTCCTGAACCACAGGGAAATGTTCCATATATCATGACCTTTTTCCTCTGAGTCTCTCTCTCTCTCTCTCTCTCTCCACACACACGCATTTTTTTTTCCTGAACCACAGGGAGATGTTCCATATATCATGACCTTTTCCCTCTGAGTACTTGACTATGTGTTTTCCAAAGATGAAGATATTCTCTTACATAATCATAATCATAAATTCAAGATGACACAACACTTTTATCTGATCTACCATCCACATTCCAGCGCTGTCAGGTGGCCGTGCAAGGCCCCGCCCAGCACTTTCCCCTTCAGCGCAGTTCCAGCATCAGGCTTGGCATTTCCTTGTCCTACCTCCTCGGTCTCTTTTAAGATGGAGCATCTCCGTCTTTTCCTCTGTTGGCATCAGCCTCTTTCTGGAAAAACAAACAAACAAGCAAACAAAGAAGAGGGCATCGGATAGATGTGGGTCTGAATCCTGGCCTTATCACTCAGGAGCTGAGTGCCCCCGGGACAAGCTACTTCTCTTCCCTGAGTCCCAGTGTTCTCATCTGCTAGATGGGAACAGTAATAATATATGGTGACAATTCAATGAAGTCGTGTGTGGCCCTGAGGCATCGAACAGGGAGACCAGTAAATGATCAGTACATGTGGTTGATGTAATTACCGATGCGTCAGCGATTAATATAATGTAATTAGTTCTGGCTCTGCCACTTCCTTGCTGTGTGACCTTAAGGATGTTGCTTTGCCTCTCAGAGACCCAATGTCCTGGGCTGTAAAGATGGGGCTTTTAAGACCTTCCTCCTGGGATTGAAGGAGGCAGCGCAGGCGAAGCATCCAGTTAAAGGCTGGTGCGTACAGCGGTTTCGTTAACGCCAGTTCCCTTTCCCGGTGTGGATGCCCACGAGCCTCTATCAGCAATAGAGCCTCCTGCCTCCACTTCTCCTATCAGCTCCCGTTCCTGCAGAATTTTCCAAAGGCAGGCGCAGACTTTGTGGAAATTCACTCCTGGGACAAAGCCCTCGCAGCAGCTGGTGCTACCCTGTGGGAGTTCTGAATCCCGGAGATGACCCGCTGTCTGAAGGAGCAACTGGAGACCTGCCCCTCCCCCGAGGTTTCCTGCCCAGAGTATTTTGGAAAAAATCTCTCTGTTGGTCAAACAAACTGCCCTCGTGGGTGTGGTGGGTGTGGTAGGTGTGGTGGGTGTGGTGGGGGGTTGGGGCCTGGGGTGGTGGCGCTCACGGGGAGCCGGTGACTCATTTGTGATTGAAATTAGAGTCTGATCTCTGGGGCCTTCAGGGAAACTGACATGGTGACTGCCCCAAGCAGAGCCCTCCTGGTCTTCCTGGGGCCTCTTCCCAGCAGCCAGGTCTCGGCTCAGCACCACCTCCTGGGAGAAGCCTTCCCTGGCCTCTGCTTCTAATGTTACCCTCTCCCACCCCCAGGTCACGGCCCTGTTTTACTGTTTGCTTAACACTGAGCACTGTCGGAGAGCTGGTCTGATTTACCTGTTCACCCGACTCTCATCTGTGTCCCCACTGGGACGTAAGCCCCAGTTATCGGGGACCTGCAGGGACTGGGCAGTGTTCCTCTCTGTCCATCCCCAGCCCATGGCAGGGTAGCCTGGTCCTGATCTGCAGGCACACATAGGAGGTCAAGAGGGGATCTGTGATGGAGGGACGGGTTGGGGCTGAGTTAGGAGGGTCATGACATCTGACCCCTGGGAGCAGGGATGAAATGTCCTCTTTTCCTTCTTTAATCAAAGTTGGTTGTCATGACCCCTCCAGCCCACCTGGATGAGAAAGCCCTGGGACTGCTCCTTTCTCCACCATCTTCTCAAACACTGACGACATTCTTTGCCCAAATGAGCTGCAAGTGAAAAAAAAAAAAGAATTTGTGGATGCGAAACGAAGTTACTGATTTGGTTGTTAAAACTCAAGAAAGTCACTCCAGGTGTAGGACTGACCTGAGCTAGTCTGGGAAGGGCATTACCGCCCCATCTTCCACCTCTCCTCTCATACCCCACAGGGTGTGGGATCAGTACTTGGGGGCCGAATCCCAGTCGAGCAACAAGTCATCTGTGTGACTTGGGTCAATGCTGTCTCCTCTCTCATTCATCAGGCTCTTCATCTGTGAGTCAGGACCTCAGTGCCTTCCTCATGGGTGAGGACGGAGTGACCTACCCTCACCCAGGCCCCAAGCACAGGCACGGAGGGCTTTCCTGATGGGCTCGGGCAGGTTAGGGGAGAGTTCAGGTTCAAGGCCTCTGGGGTCAGACAGACCTGAATTTGTATCTCGACTCTCCTTCTTACAAGCCAGTGACTGTGGACAATGCACTTCACTCTGTCAAGCCTCTGTTTTCTCATCTGTGAAATGGCTATATTCATACCTGCATATTTCCTAGGGCTGCTGGGAGGATCATCAGCTAGAATATATATTTTTTACACAAAATATCATTCAGGTAACTGTTACTGTTTAAAGCAGGGGTGGGGAACCTTTTTTTCTGCCAAGGGCCATTTGGATATTTATGACATCATTTGTGGACCCTACAAAATTATCAACTTAAAAATCAGCCTGTTATATTTGGTCATTTAAGTAACTCACCCCTAATGCCTTGGCAGGGCCAGAACAAATGATTTCTCAGGCCTTATAGGGTCTGCGGGCCAGACATTCCCCACCCCTGGTTTAAAGCCTCACACATTTAGAAGCTTCTCAGACAGAATTGCAACTATCACGGTGACCGAATCCCTAAATAAAGTCACAGATTTGTTACTCAACCAATTCCGTGAAAGTAATCGGCATCATTCATTGCCAGGCTCCTGTTAAACAAAAGAGCTGATAG